TTGTACTCTTTTAGGCAGAGTCGCTCTATTTGCTGGGGATTATGCTAATCATTGTAGATCTCAAGTTCAGCGGAGTGGTGCGAGAGCGCTTGCTAGTCAGTTATCATCGTTACAGGTAAAACTTGAATTCTGATGCCTTGAAACGTTGTTTAAAATGTTGGTTTTTGTTGTTTACAAGATGTTTACAAAATGAACAGAAAGGTAAAGCTTAAAATTATGCTGAAGTTTGTAGGCTTGGAACTTCTTGACCGGCTTACGGCATGCTTATAACGTTTAATATGTTATGCCGGTCATCTTGTTACTACTGTCTTTGGGCATCCATTGCTAAAAGCAGAGAAGTGATACTGTTAATTAAAATTAAGGAAGATAATCTCATGATCATTACTCCTTCTTATGCATAAAATTGCTCACTCCTCCATTTTTAGTACTTCTTGACTCACTGTCAGAGAATGAAAGCAAGAATTGCTTAAAATGCTGAAGCGACTGGCGTCACCATCTGTTAAGTTCATCTTCTCAGGACCACAAGCAGATCTTCTGATTTAAGTCTTTTTTCATCACTGCTCAAATTGGACCTTCATCATTTGCGTTACTGCTCTTACAATTTCGAAAGCGTTAAAAATGTGTTGTCAGTACGCTGCTCTAAAGAAGATGGAAAATTTGCATTGCAGAAGGTGATGTTTGCAAAATAAACTAAGTAACATCAGACTGACATTGCAAAAACACGATTGCCCGCTGAATTTGCTAAAGGAAGGTCTAACAAACTTAACTAGACCACCCTTAGCTCGCTGCGAACTCTACGGTCAGATCTACATTACCAGGCTGAGCGAAAAGTTACGACGTATTGCGTTTAAAACCGGTCTGAACAGTATATTTAAACCCTATACATAGTTCTGCAGTCCCCTCAGCCACCTGAAGATCAAGAGGTTGAAGGAGCAGAAGCAAGGGTTTGGGCATAAAAGCTTCCCTGCTTATGTGGTATCGGTACATCTACGAAAAGGACTACGCCCTTGAGGAAAGGAATACAGAGCAGAGAATAAATCAGACGAAAAAGCACTGATGCTAGAGATAAAGGTCTCAAGTAAAGTAGGCGAAAGTCACGAGCAGGCAAAGGATCTCATTATGAAAGCGGCACGTGAAAAAAATTCCACAATAGTACATCACACAGTGATCCGTCAGCACGCCCTAACTTGGGAGAAGACGAAAGGTGTCACGGTGCTCATCCGCGCAATTAGATGTGTGAATCGCGACCATGTCAGTGACACGTGAAACGAAAAGATCCAACAGTCGCTTAGATCCAGGGACAAGTTAGGCATCGTTAAGCATACGACTGAATCTGATGCTCATGAAAATGATGCAGTGTAAAGCCTCAGTGTTTCTGTGAAGAAGATCTGAAGTTGGTTTAAAACGTCAAAATCTTTGTGTGATATTGATGTGATAAAACTTTTATGCGGTGTTATCCCTTTTTGACTTACACAACTTCATCTCCTGCATAAAGAACTCATGTATTATTGTTCGTGTTTTATATAATATGGTGTAATTTTTAATGCTAACAATATTATTGCTGTCTTCCTTGTACGTATCCATGACTGAGGGTATGTACACATGTATGTATCAAGGGGTCCTCTATGACCCCAGGCATGTATGCCTGGGGTATGTATATATGTCTTTACCGATCGATACTTTATGAGACCTGGCATCTATGCCTTGTTCGTATATTTCAGGTTGTTTAACGGCAGTCGATGCGATTAACGATGATTGATCTCTTAAGTCAAGATTTTGTTTCAGCGACCACCTGCTGAACATAAGCTGCCCGTACGATGAGGTCTGCACTTTGCTGCGAAGCACAAGCAGTAATGGCCGGAAGCGTGCTGGATTTTTTCCGGAAGCATATTTTCGGTAAATATATTATTACGCTGATGAACTTTTTGGTTAAATTTAGCCTCGGAGAGGCTGTGATTTTCGTTATTGTTCGCCAATAATCTTTAGCTGTAGAATTGGCTTGTCACGCTCGGTTACTTCCCCCTTCATTAAACCGTTTACACGTTCCTTATTCGTTTTTTGACTCTCAGCATGAACAAACTTCTCAATGTCTGAATATAAATTTTTACGAAATGGTAGCATATATCAGATATATAAATTAATACTGTACTGTCACGAGTATCTTTACTGTTATAAGCATGCGAAAGGAAACTTACTGGTAGGTTGAAAACATGGAAGTGATCCCTCGTAAAGGCTGTTCTGTATAATTTGCTGTCGGCAGATGATGTCATATGCGTTCTGTTCATGTAACAGATGCAAAACAGTGCTGCTGCCTCGCGTTGAGTTTCAAGCTTTGTTTCAGGTTTGTTCAGTTAACAGAGGATCGACACAGTGTGGTTGAAGCTGGTTGGGGTCAATCGATTTTTATGCTACAATGGTAGATTATTGACTAGCATTCTGTATGACGAAATAAAGAGATGTGCTGTTGTGACCACATACTTTTAGATATTGCTTACAGTGCAGTCTTGCCGTAAAGTGCCTTTTGACACTTCTCGGTAGTAGCATAGTCAACGGGATTTGAAGTCGTACTTTAACTTCATTAATTAGGGTGATTTAAAATGCGCCATTCATGGTTTGTGTGCTAGGGATTGAAATCTCAAAGTTGCAGACTAATTTTCCGTAAACACACCTTGACAGACTATGTGGTACTAAGTAAATAACTAATCAGCTGAACTCTTTTTTGCTACACGGTTGGGATTCCCCTTCCTCCAAATGCAAATCAGCGATATTAAGGTTTTGTTAAACAATCGATGCGTAATCAGTAATTATCTTTACTGATAATCATAACATCATCAGGATTAAATAATTCGGTTCTGCGGCTATTATCGATGTCGATCATGAAACGAATGGCGGGTTAAGTGAAACTATGCCATCGTTTTTTTTTGTTTGGATATCTTAAACGCACATCAGAAAGATGTTAAGCAATTTAACTTCGTTTTCATGATTTGACTCAGCACTCCTCAGTTAGTTGAACGTAAGCTCTTCATTCTGTCCTTCAGCCATTTTGTGTGCAAACTAAAGCTTGGCAGACGTCGATCAGGAAGCCAGAATGTTGGGTTCATGAATAGTGTAAAGTGCCTGTAGAATTTACAGTGTTCTGACCTTTGTCTTTTGAAAAAATTTTGATAATTTTATCGTCAGGTGCACATAAGAAACTGTATGTATGTTTTACAAAAACAGATGGCTCTACTACTGATTGCCACAAACAATTCTGCAGTTACTTGATGGCTGGTACACCGGTAGCACAGTAAGCTTATGCATTCATTTTGACACTATTGGGTCGGTTGAATTTACGAAGCAATACACGTGATTCAGTTATGCAGTCATGATGATCTTTAGCAGGTAATATCTGTGGTTTTCAAGCATGATATTTCCTAAATTCCTTAATCGTTTATGATCTTTTATAGTAAGAGGTACAAGTCATTCAGTGGACAGGTCAAAACTGGCTGATCTAGTCAGAATTTACCACCTCCCCCATTTATTGCCTATTTACGGTGCATATAAAGACTCTTTATAATTGTATTGGATCATACGTCGACAAGATGTTTTGAATTTTTTCAGAAGGAGGAAGGCTAACAGGTTTAGCATCAAAGTTGATTACAGCACAGAATGCTCTTTTTAATATGATGCTCGAATCCTCTTCATCTGCAACCTCAGCGCAATAAATTTATACAATTTACGGCTAGTCTCTACCGCTTAACGCAATCACTAGCATTTGTGGCTATTGAAGCAAGTGCTAACTTGAGGGCATGCCGAAAAACGAAGAGAGACTATCTTTGGATCAGGTTAACGATAGCCTGCCAGGACAGCTGTACATAGACACTAGGCGAAATTACGCAATGCGTTGCTAAGCTCTAGTTGATCGTGCGGTATAGAGGAAACGAGCAGCTGGGGCCGGTGCAAGTATTAACTTGCTAAAATAATCAACCTGTTAACATAATAATTTAATTTTTAGGCGTGTCAACCTCAAAGACAACTATATAAATTTTGTAATTGGAATGCTACGGTCTGATGACATTTATCAGCAGGTAAGTGAAGGTGCTTGATACCTGAACGTCTTTCTGTTTGCTGCGTTAATGAACTTTCATGGTTTAGTTGCTGACGTTTCCGTTACCGGAGCATCGGAGCACAGCTTTGGCTGACCAAGGAGCCATACTGTTTGTCTGCCTGTTTTTTACACCAGAAACGCTTCATTCGAATGCGCCGGTTATGCGAGAAATCGTTGATAAATACTTCTACGACAATTGGGTAACTCGTGCTGCAACCGAACCTCTTTAATACTCTTTAGCGAAACTAGTAACAATCTGAATGACTGACTGATAGCGTGAGTGATTTTCTCAGCAGATAGCATCAGGGACCGGTCGTTAGTGATTGACAGTGTTTCCACAGGACTATGACTTGACAGCATTTATCCTTTTGTCTGTTCACTGCCATAACTTGGCTGTTATGGATGAAATAAAATGTTGACTGACAGTGCGAAGCTTAATAATTGTTTGCTCTAACCCAGTTTACAGGTTTGTAACGCATTATTATGGGTTGCTTATCAAGAATTTTTCACCATCGGGTTGGAAGTTAGCCTGTCCAGTATGAAACAAGTTCGAAATTACCTCTGCGCGTAAACTCTATGCTCATAGGGTTGTCAGTTCATTTTCTGTTTGGATGAAAAATGGATTTCTCTAATGATTTCAGTCAACCCGCACACTTTTATTCATTCGTTTATACCCTGACAGGTGAAGTTCAGAACCATGTGGTTATGTGAGCTGCTGATCGCGAAGCAAACAACGGAACAATTGACCACCAGATGCGCGTCTCATAAATTAATCGGTGTAATGTTGAATGTACTTTGGGTTACTTGTAAAGAAAAGATTGTGGTTGACAGAGGAGGACGACATTTAGGCAAGACAGTGTAAACTACCTTTTCGATGCCTTATGAATGTTTTCGGAAAATTGATAAATATAATAACAGTATTCACGCCATCGGAATGTGAAAGCTGTGGAGGTACGCCAAAAATTTAACCGCGACTTGGCTTCATTTCGTCAACTTCATGAATGAATGGAAAATTTTACTATTACTGTTATATGCGCATGACTTTATGGAAACGTCACAAACTGATCTGGAGTAGAAATGTATGTCCGGTGGTTTTGTGCTCATATCGACCAAGAAAGGGATATATGGCTAAATCTCAGTGCTTGTTTTCAGCTGTTCTTTCTGAAAGATACCAGACAGACAACATTTGTCCGATACCAGTGTAACAGTTTCGCCGACTTTGTCGATTTGGTAGGTCAAGGGTCTTTTGTTCATCTCAAAGATAAGTCGAAGGCAACACACGGCGTGAAGATGAACAGCATGCTTGCATTAAAAAACTTCCCAACAAAAACGTACACCAAAAGATATGAATTAATATTGCCGGACTGGCCCTTTGTACTCTCGCCGTTTCACAGAGGGCCACTGCGAACCCACTTGGTCAATTTCTAAAACCTCACGGCCATTGTGACCGCGTCGTTGAAGTTCCGAACTCCACACCTTTCGCATGGGAGTAGACCTACGCTTCTTGTGGCATCATGCGCGTAGCTAAATGTGGTTTAAAGGCTGTTTTTGAGTTTGGACGTAAAATGTGAAGTATGTTTATCATTAAGCCATATTCTGCTTATGTTAAAATAATTTGTTTTGTTTTACGTGTTTTGTGGTGAAGTTGACTTTGGTTTATGTACACGTTTGTTTACAGACGATAACCATACATTTGGGCATGACCGTCAATCTGTTCGAAGCCTGGGAGCCGTACAAAGCTGCGTATAGCGCCTTGAACATTACTTTACAGCCAGCTATGGCTAAGCTAAAGGTGAATATTTTAAATAGTAGGAACGGACGAAAACCCTAAAATCCAGGCCCGGCAAGTGGCTTGGAGTTTCCATGCATATATGTGACTACCCAACATAAATGGACTAAAACCCAGTTTTGATGAGTAATGTCTTTGTCACTTCTTAAACACAGGATACGAATATTATGTACATTCTCAGTCTGCTTGACATGACTGTTAATGAATGATAATACCTTTTCTGGTTATCATGTGGTTCCCTCAGCATGTTACTGGTTATCAGGGAGCAATAAACCGTGTTTATTCAGTAGTGTATGGTTGTGTGTTTCATTACCCTCCAGGCGACAGTCAGATATGAAAAAAGTTCCAAAGATTATTTACTACTTATGTTTTTCTGATATGTTTGAATTTTGAAACCCGGAAAACTTTTTACAACTTGTTTGCATTGTTTACTGAAGTAGCTTCTGAACTTTAGGCCCAGAACTTCCACAGCGAAATACAGGAGCTGAACAAAGAAATTCAGCGCGACGTTTCAGAAGATGTCTTGAAGGACGACTTTGTCTTGATCAATATGAACAAATTGGTGAATAGCATCCGAAAATGCAACGTTACGCTCCGATGGCTGTTGCTCCACACGTCGGCATTCAAGAAAGGTGACAAGTTGATTTTATTCGATTGAACATGCTAACATGTAATGACGATGTTAACCCTCCACCTTTTCAGTACGAATGACTTTGCGCATTACACGTGATTTTCCTTTCTGTTTTGTTGTGGCAATTTGGTTTCCAGTCCAGAAGCCATATCGAAGATAGTTCACGGCAACAAACAATCGCTGTTTTCATTTTCAGTCATTTTCAGTCTGAAAGTTTTCATATCATGCATGATTTTACGTCTCTTCCCTGTAATGCGTCTACTTGTTGCGTAAATCATGGTCTCGGTGTTTTATCTCTCCCCAACTTTTTTCACTGAGGTTTGTCTAGCGTATTAGGTGTTATTGGTTGGAATCTACACTTCAATACAGTGCGAATAGTCTTATTTTTTATTCGGTTGGAGAATAACGATAAAATTTTCACGAGCTCTCTCCTGTAATTAATGCGCACCATTGTTTCCAGTGCTTCTGTCCGACCTTGTAACCCGAATGTCATTCCATCACTCTGGAATGAAGGCTGTGTCTGCAGTGACTGCCAATTTTTCATCGGTCGATTTTGTCAAGTTCTGTGGAACCTTTCACGATTCCCTTCGCGACTACCAAATTTTTTTCGGTTTGCTCTGTCATGCGCAGATGGTCCGCATCGGTGACGTTTGTTTGCTAAGGAACTCAGACGTAGGTGGCATAACGTTACATGATCTTTTGTAGTCTGACTCGTTCTTCGAACCAATCGCTTCGAAAAATAATTACCTTCCTTCCTTTTTACTAAGGTTTCTTGAAAGGACACAGTGGTTTAGTTTCAGACTTAATTTTATCTCATGACTGTTTTGCTAACGTTCGTTTGGGCGGAAGAATTCTGTGATCGATCGAGAAGGCAACAGCAGTTTCTTCGTAGGCAGTAGTCTGCATCAGTTTAATAAAACGCCATTTGGATGTCGAATGAAGCGCAATGAAATTAATGATACTCATGCACTCCTTAAACAAGGTATTAATAGTAGTAATGAAGACTACCGTACAATAATTTAAACTGTAAACAGCTCACTTGGAAATGACGTAAAGGAAACAGAATTCGAAGAATGAATATTTAAAATAACTCAGTTTTTCGGCTGTATATTTGTCTGACATTGACAATAACATAACACGATTAAAGTTTTTAGATTGGGATCGTGTGAAACGGTGCAGGCAGATGAGGGATGCTGTAAACGAAGCGAAAGTCAACCCTGATATGCTTTTTGAATTTGTGCTGAACTGCGCCCAGCGTGAGCTTGAATTTA